CACTTGCTGAAATCAGATGGCAACGTAAGAATACTGCCCGACATACCGTACTCTGAGCGCAGTATCATACGAAACGTCCCTAAAGAATCTCGCGAGAAGTTTTTCCGCGGAAGAAACATAATTGTCCAAGGTATACCGGAAAATGCAGACCCTACTCAATCAAATTCTGACATCAGGGAATGGAAATTCATCAAACAGTCCTTGAGGCTCAAACACATACTGACTCAGCATGTGACGAGACTAGCCAAGAAGGACGGTGATCTTAGACCCCATCTAATGAAGATAACCTTCCCATCTTCCCACATGGCGGCTGCAGTTCTGGAAGCATTTCGTGCTAATAAACGTCGATTGCCACCTGGAATCCACATGCACCCGGATAGGCCATACGAAGTTAGGACCAAGAACAAAGACAAGTTGGAGCTGACCATTCCACTTGTGGACTGTCTAAACGATAAAAAAACATGTAAAGGACAGGGCCTACCACCTCGGCAAACCTCACATAGGTGGGCTACCTGTCCATTCACATAAGGTTCATACAGAAAAACAGGACGAAGCTCACGCGTTCCAAATTGAAAGCATAAACTACTTATATATGAACGCCGCCAGTCTACCAAACAAACTGGATGAACTACGTGAACTTAGCAACGCTAATAAGGCCCATCTGATAGGAATATCTGAAACCTGGATATCTTCTCAGTTCTCGGACCAAGAGTTAGCATTGCCTGGGATGACTTTGTTCCGCAACGACAGAAAAACAGGAATTGGGGGCGGAGTAGCAAAATACATAAGCTCTTGCTTGGAGGTGCACCAGGTTCACAACCTCGAGTTTAACAATCTTGAGGAATCCATATGGTGCTCTGTAAGATTGTCTAGTACTTCCAGGTGTCTAGTCGGAGTCATTTACAGGAAGCCAACTGCCGACACCGAGTACGATAGTCGTATGCTGGAAGGACTATCCCGCTCTATCCGTCTCGGTTTCACACACATCCTGATTCTAGGGGACTTTAATCTCCCTAGAGTCAACTTCGCGGTACACACGTACACTGGAGGCGACAACTCAACTGAAGCTCGGTTCTTCAACCTCATCGATAACTTGGGCTTATATGAAAATGTGAGGTCGGCAACTCGTTGGAGAAACAGTCAGACACCATCGCGCTTAGACTGTGTATTCACAAACGAAGAATTCCTAGTCGACAACCTCTCAATCCTGGCTCCTCTGGGAAAGAGCTAGGGTATCCCAACAATAATTTGCGTTGGAATTTTAAACAGCTAAATGTGCCAGCTCTACATGACTATCTACAACAGGTGGTTTGGGATGTTCACCCTCAACTCGATGTGGATGGTCATTGGGACTTCTTACTGCACACGCTCTTATGTGCTACAGACCATTCAGTTCCTCAAACGGTTCCCAAAAGCTGCAAGCCACCTACAGTAATCAAGAACCGTACCCTTCGCCTGCTAAGCCGCAAAAGGCACTGTTGGGCGGAATACAAACAAACTAATAACGATGGAGCGCATAGGCAATACAAACATATCAGGAACATATACACGAAGGCTATAAGAGAAGACAGGCTTCAGTACCAAGCAAAGCTTATGGACAAATTCGCCTCTAACCCTAGAAGCCTATTCCGTTATGCAGCCTCTCTTCGTCAAGCCAAAACTGGAGTTTCTCAACTGCTAGGTCTTAACGGCCCGACCAACAACGATGGCGACGCCGCTAACCTTCTGGCGGCACATTACTCTCAAACATTTCAACCGGCTGACATCAACTTTATTGACGACAGTTTCATCTGCAATTCCACAGGACTTTCTGAAGTGGACCTAAGCGCTGACTTGGTGTTCCGGAAATTGCAGCACTTAAGACTTGACATTTCTCCTGGCCCGGATATGGTTCATCCTGCCATACTGAGGGAGGCAGCCTCAATCCTGGCAACGCCGCTTAGCGTGATGTTTTCACACTCGCTTAGCCGAGGCAAATTACCGGAAAATTGGAAGTTGGCTCACATCACACCAATTTTCAAAGGTGGTCGACACAATGAACCTTCAAGTTATCGGCCGGTGGCTCCTCTGTCATTACCTTCAAAACTCATGGAGTCCCTGATATGCGACGGTTTAAATGACTATCTACTGTCCTTAAATTTCTTCTCACCCCAACAGCATGGTTTCAGGAAGGGTTACTCTTGTATAACCAACCTGCTGACTGCGGTGGACAATTGGACAAGCATCCTCGATTGCAAGGGAAAGGTTGACGTCATTTACCTTGATTTCTCAAAAGCTTTTGATAAGGTTAACCACTTGTGTCTTATCAACAAGCTCAAACGACTAGGTATCAAACCACCTCTAATCGATTGGCTTACTTCATACCTAAAAAATCGACACTTTAAGGTTAGGGTTAATTTCACTTTATCTCAGGCTATGGAATGTCCTAGTGGGGTCTCCCAGGGCTCAGTACTAGGGCCTCTTCTCTTCTTGATCTACATAAATGATCTTCCTCAACAGGCAACGTCAGACTCATGACTTTTTGCCGACGACGTGAAACTTTGGAGAGAGATACGCAACCAAGACGATACACAGGCACTTCAGGAGGATCTGACGCGACTTCAAAGTTGGGCAGACGATAACGGACTTACCTTTAACACTTCAAAGTGTAAAGTAGTTCATCTGCGACATGTCGCAAACTACAGTTACAACTAAGGAAACTCCTTTCTAGTAGTATCCCAAGTCGAAAAAGATTTAGGAGTCCTGGTGCCTTACGATCTAAAGTCTTACGCTAACTGTGACAAAAATGCTTTCCGAGCAAACCTTGCACTGGTAACGTTCAGGCGCATTTTTGGCCAGTTTGACGGACGAACTTTCCATACAATCTTCAATAGTTTCATCCGTCCCCATTTAGAGTACGGAAACATAGTACTCCCCCCTCACTCCATAAGGACAAAGTCACTTTGGAGCGTATCCAACGGCGAGCCACGAAATCAGTTCGAGGACTCAAATCTAAGCCTTACGAAGAACGCCTCCGTTCACTAGACCTTTACCCACTAGAATATAGGCGTCTTAGAGGTGATTTACTAATGGCTTATAGTATTCTTAACACTTCTGAACATCCTCTTAAACACCTACTTCAGCTTAGTTCGAATAATAATCTAAGGGGTAATACCCAGAAACTGGAAACACAACATAGCAAGACGGAATGTAGACACAACTTCTACTCCTTAAGAGTTGTCAAAAGCTGGAATTCGCTGCCGGCCGAGCTAGTCCAAGCGACTTCTCAGGAGTCCTTCAAGAGGCAACTTGACCTATTCTTAAGGACCAAGGACAGCATCACAATATGATTTACCAATTTCTTTTCCTCTTTTATTGTTAACATACCTAGGTTCCTGCCTGGAGGATTTGGTGATCCCCTGCTACTAGACACGGAAGCCTGTTAAGCGAAAGCTTCTTCTATTCCGTCCACAACCATTTGAACCATTTCAACCATTTGAATCTGTTTAACATCCAGGCTGATGATAAAATATGTGATTACGTGACAAGCAGGCGACAGCCGAGTTCTAAAAGTTAGAATCACCATATCCTAGTGCAATATTCAATTGAATACATGTAAATCGGCTTCAAATTTAGACTTTTCGTGACGTTTTTAAGTGACTGAATTTAAATTCTTTTCAGTCGGAATGTATTTTCTAAGAAAGTAAAATAAATTATGTACGCTTGCTTTTATTCGAAAACTTGATGAGCGAGTAGAAAAAGGCTTTCACAAACAACAGTTTGAACGAAATGTGAATTGAAAAAATGAATACATTGGTCTATTCAGAAGCTAAAGTAACCCATTTGGGCTTGATATAGTACCATACACCACACTATTACATAAATGGGATATGAAGTTCAAAATATCCTGCTCGTTAATGCATTTGAATGCGCGACGAATTAACTATAACTATCGGAAACATTTGTTAACTGGTGAATTAAAATGCACAGTTGTGGTTTACGAATAACCAGAATTTTTGGTGTTTCTGCACTCGTGGGAGCGATGAACTGTTGATAGCATACTAGTAATCATAACTTTGCCTGACGTACATGAGCATATTCTTTTTAGCATTGGTTTCTAAGCCCCGACTTTGACACCATTTACCTAGTTCGTCTGGGTCAGCTTAGTGGTCATAGTGATCAGCCTCAATTCTTCGGGTATTGACATAATCAGCAAACAATAATGTCAACAATGTAAGCAGTCGCGTTAATTCAATGACGTTGAAAAGGAAAATTATGGAACTTAAGATGATGCCTGGAAGTACAACACTTTTGAGCGACTTCCATTCAGATAATTTCTCACCTACCCTCACTTTTATGTCCTCACTTACAGAGGAAGTTTCTAACCCATTCACGCTCAGCACCTGTCACTTCGAAGCTAGAGTGCTTCTGCATAAGACCTAAATGATAATATCAAATGCTAAAATCTGTGAGTATTACATTGACAGACGAACGTTATCTTGGGCTGCTGCCCAATAAGTAAGATGATCAAGCATGAATGCTTAGTTTAATGCCTGTGATGTTTGGAAGTTAACAGATTGAATGATTCTATGTTACTTAGTCACTTAATATATATCATTTTCATATCCACAATATTGCCAAAATTACTTGAAAAAAGGTTTCCGCATTAGTTTCTAGGATGACACTCCATCCACAAGGCCAGCATTCAACGAAGTGAGAAAAAATAGATCCAGCTGCCACACTGAACGGCATAACGACATTGTCAATGTCATACAAGTTAAAACAGCATTAGAATCAACAACTAATCTACTTCAACATATGCATCGGAAGTCCATCTGTGAAATGATTCACACATTGGAATGATTATTAGAAGAGAACTAACTTTTTTATCTCAGACGTTTTAGAGTGCAAGATTTGGACTATTCATTGTTTATTGAATGGCATATACAGTTTTATTCAGCTAACCAATTAATTTCTCTGTTTTCCGTGGTTCTGTCCTTGTTTACTACCGGGAATTTAAAATGGTTGAAGATGCCAAATTTCTGAAAAGGTATGTTAGTAGTATTGACGAAACTGCTAAAGAAAAATACGCGCTGGTTCCATAGATGTGCATCCAACTGAAAAGGCACTTGTTGTGCACTATGAAACGGAGGCTACAATTCTTGGGGAATTAGGAAATCCAATGGTTGGGGATCGAAAGGAAAGTCAAAAAATGTAATGACATATAGATTTATGAGATTTTAAATATATAGAATTCGGGTTAGAAATCTGAATGAAAACACAAATATCCCTGAGCTGGCCAAAAAGATTATCTCAAGCTGCAAATTGATATCGGAAAACAAATATCCACAAGTTGAACACTTGCTAAAGTATTTGCTGAAGAGAAAAGAGACAAAGAAAGTTAAAAATCGTTAGTTTTTGCTGTTTTAATGACAGCTTCTATTATATATGTAATTATTCGATGCGGAAATTTACGTTGTCATTAAAAATAGACTGTTCAAGCTTGACCCTATAAACACTACAAGAAGGACATTTATTCGTCTATATTTAGTTTATATAAGTGTTTCTTAAAAGCACGTAGGAAAGTGTGATTCCAGAAGGACTCCAGTTTGGTTACCTACTACCAGGAGATCTTTATTCTCTCTCGATTCATCCTGAATTCATTGCATACTACTGAAAATCATTTATGGTTTTAGATCTTTTACTCGTAAGATACCATTTGAAAACAGAGATTGCACACTGCAAAGACCGCTGTGTTTATTTTCCAAGTGTGATTCATAGAATATATGGATATACAAACACTAGGTATAATGGGTTCACATACTCATTTACTAATCACTGTTCGGTAATGCACGAAATTTGAAAACATTTCTAGCCACTTTAAATAATATGGGAAGCAAATAAAAGACTGAAGTGGGTTGGTTGTTACAAAATAGTTAATTTATTTGTTTCAACGTGAAATAAAATGATTCAGTTGTTTAACTGATGAAAAAAGTTCGTGTTTTTTATCCAGTACAGATATTCAAACCAATCACCAAATTTTCTCACTTTTTAGGGTCTCACAAAAATATAAACACTCGAATTTTTTACTTTCCATATAAAAGGGAAAGCTATGTGGCCGACGAATTTGATTGCTTAACAACATGAGACTTTCTTAAGAAAATATAGTCTCATATATTAGATTTGCATAAAACTTTTGAAGGTGGAGTAACTACTTAAATCAAGTGACAACAAGGAGATTTCAAAATTGTCAGTCAAATTTATAGGGTAGATACATTTTGAAAGAACAACCAAGCTCCATCTAGATCACGTGTCGTCTCAATAATAGTTTGTCTCGTTGCTATGAAACAGACAAGGTTGATATATCAGTGTTACGAAACAAAGCAAGTTCTGGTTGCTGCGACAAGCACAGCTGCTCGCCACGCCTTGCGATTAGCCGATTGCTGCCACTTATCGCTATTGTCTACGCAAGTAAGACAGCAGGACTTTATGTAAAGAATTATTTATTCACCAACCTCCACTTAACAGGACATAAAAAATAATGGCATAACAAATGTTATTTGTAAGCGTGCAATCAATGACCAAATTTCAATGAGTTAAAATAACAGTTAATCAATTATTAAAAGTGTGCACTTAGTTTGCGAAATCATAAACCTAAATTTCTTGACCAGGAAATATTACTCACTGCTGAATTATATATCTGTTTCTGTCTCAACATCCATATTTTGGACATTTTATAGCTAAACTATGCATTTTTTAGGCTTAGTCCAGTAGTTAGTAGCTACAAACGTTGCAATACAACCTATTATAAAAAACTGCATTTAAAAGTACATATCTGGTAACATGAATTACACCCGTATGTATAAAAATGTTATATCATTACCGCAAAATCAGAAAAATAATTCAGAACATACTTACCATATGAAATTAATGGTTTGATCTGAAGGTGAAATGCCTTATGTTTTGTAAGCTTATATCAAGTTTTAATAGATTGGAAGGTATATATGACCGAAATCCACTTCACTTAACGAGAACATTGTCTAATATTTTTGACTTCGTAGATGCATTTTACATTCATTTTCTATACAATAAATTGATTTGTTGTTGTAATTCACAGTAAAGAAGACGTCTTTCTCGAGTTAACAGTTGCTAACAAAACATAAACATCGCAGATCAAAAGAGTGTTTTCTTATATTCTGATAAAAAAATCCGAATGAAAATGTTTCTCTAATTTTTGAATTTCAATAAATCTTTCGTGGAAACGTTCATTTATCAGTTTTCATATTATCAGAAGCTTGATGCTAAATTAATCTGATCCTTGCACTAACGAAACGTACATTTCTGAAAATCAAGTTGCTTGAATGAAGACCGTTTTAATGACACGGTCGGCACTATCCTTTATACAGCTGCTAATGATTGTTAAATTTTAATTTTGCCCAGTATTTCTATATTTTTAGTGTTAAATTATCTTTTGCTAGAAAAACCATCAATCATATCAGAAACACTTGCTGATCCCGGAGCGTTCGATTCAACTGAAATAAATGAAATTGCTCATTTGACTGAACTTGAGGATTATTTAGAACTACTCTATGAAGGTATATCAGAAAAGCTACGTGCATCGGCTTTAATTTTACAACTTGCGAGAAATTCCGACAATTTAGAGGAGCTGTTTCAAAATGGTCAGTTGAAACCACATCTTCATAATTTGTGTTTTGTTTTTATCGTCCTTCAGATTCTTAGTTCTCTCCAGAGGATAAAAAACAGATACCTAAGTCAGCGTCTATAAAGCTGGATTACTGTTTGATGTTTAGTACTGATGATGTTGATGAGGTATTTGGATTTTTCCACAGATTAAGGCTATGATATTCTAGAGTTCGTTGACTTCATACAGGATAGATATTTATAACACAAAATGTGGTTTGTTTTGATGCTATAACCTGTCACAACTATTAGAACCGCTTTGCATCACTCAACGACAAAAATAGAAATAACGCCAAGATCGTTTAATGTATACCGAACCTCCTTATGGTAGACTTATACATGTTGATAACATATGAGGCTTAGCAGACAGAAACTCTGCGCCTTCTTACAAAAGTGATAAAATTTAAAATTATTGCCTATTGGTAGTAACGAATGTTTCACGGAGCCTAACTTTACGCTTTAGCGGTAGTACTTCCCACTTAAATGTTACGGTGAGTACGATAAAATCAATCCATAAACTATACTAACTTAGATCTTAATGACATATTTTGTTGTATATGTGATATTAAATGCTTCCACCATTTTTCAATGAATTTCCCTCCAACATACCTAGATAAACTTTCGTTATATCCATGTGAATCATATTAGAGAGCTAAAGTATAATAGTACATGTCGAAATAACCTTTAGATGTTGGGATATGATAAGTTGCTTCTAACTGAATCAACTAAGCCTTCTTTTATCCCGTCCTTATGCTTGTCTTTCCTCACTTCTGAATATGGCATTATTGAAAGTATCTAATGTATAATTTGACTCCCTTAGTCGACCTGTTTTTATGGTTTGATCAAACCATTTACTTATTTTCCCTACAGCCTATTGTTTAACGCCAGTACTATCACTCGAATAGTTCTGTTACAAACAAATAGCGACGCAGATGTTTCTGGTTCTATAGTCTACCTATTTTATTCCCCATCAAGAATCATGGGTAGGAAAATATGGTGCTGCCGCTCAAGGTTTCTCACCAATCATTTTCAAACAAATGTTTAACCAGTGCTACATGACATGAATCGGCATAAAATAGCATGGAAAGATTTCATGTTTCCTTCCGGAACATCAGTTCAATAATTTGGAATAAAAATTTTAATTACGTGAAGGTTGATAAGTTTAGATAACATATTTTTAAGCTTCGGAACACATTCTTGTTTAAAAAGTCCGAGGTATTGGTTCGAACATTTTTGGAACTGTTTTAATAGATTGGCCTTACACTGTGTTTAGAGAAGCATATATTTATTTGCGACTTATGACTTTTGCCTTGTATTGAACTTGAATATTTTCTTCATAGAGACCCTTGTTGGTGCTTTGGCAAGAGTTCTTCGTGAAGACTGGAAAAAGAGCACAGATTTAGCAACAAACATAGCCTATATATTCTTCTGTTTTTCTTCCTTCTCAAATTTCCACGGGGTAATATTGCACTTCAAAATTGGTAGGTTTATTTAAATGTAACCATTTTACCGGTAAATAATTAACTATCTTAAAAGATTTCAAGACGACCGACTTTGATATTGTCTTTGTTCACAATATTCATTCTGATGAAATGGTCTAGTTTTCATTTCCGTTATAACTGTACAGTGTGTCTCTTGACACTCAGTACATGGGTAATGATCATCGCTGCATCAATTGGTCTATGGGTTATACTTGATCCATCTAATGCGGTTGACGAATTTTCACTATATCATAGTCCACAGAGGTATCTTTCACTTCTGAAGGATGTGGTGGACATTTATTCATAGGTAGCTCAGGACAGGACACTACATGACATCGTTCTAAGTTTCTATACCACACGAACGAACATTTAGGGGAGAAATTAACAAGGCAAAAGGAGATGGAGACGAAATCATTGTGTTTGTTACTGCATAACTTGTGAGCTGTGGCCATAAAGAATTGAGTTTGATCGAATAATAAAGTTCATGAACTAAAACGAAACCAAAGATGTAAGGGGAGATAGATAGCAAGTATATCTGTACCATTGTAGTAAGTTTTAACCCATTGCAAGCAACGTTTGTAACGATGGGTTACAATGATCACTGGTGTCCCAACCAGAATAGCTCAGCTACCTCTTATAATAATGATATATCTCTTTTAGGATCTCCAAAATTTCCTTCGATGTACTCTTGGGTCAGCTTGTACTACAACTCAAGTTAGGTAATGAAACGCTATGCATAAAATATATCCTAGCTACCTTAGCTATTGAAGGTTTATTACCCCGTTAATCGACTTGATGCTCTCATTAAAAACTTTACTTCTTCTCATAATACTATTCGTTTGATATATCTCTCATACCGTGCTTCTAAGATACACACATTTAGATACTTGGACCTTATTTATATTTGTTAATTTCATAGACTATGTTTAATAGCTCCCAATTAGTAAAAGGCCTTCTATTGTTCAATATACTAGCTTTTTGATAGACGGACGTAAATTTCACCTGCTTTACAACATTCATCTTCCAAAATAGTTTTTCATTCTCTTCATAACTGTCATATTCAAATGTGTGATAGGAACTGACTGCTGCTTTGAACGGCTTGATTGTTTGTCTACCATTTTGATTCTTCCTGTGCATCAGGTTTTGTTGGTTGCATAGATTGTGCTCTTTTCATGTGTCTTCGAATATTGATCCATATAGTTATCAAAGCTGAACGCAAGGTGATCAACGGCTCCATTCATGGACACTTCATCAATTTTGGCTATTCATGCAAATAAAGTAACCTTGAAAATTATCTACAGATTCAAACAAACTGACTCATTGACCAGATACTTGCTCATGAGAAGAGACTTTAGTAGTCCACCAAATAAGGCCAAATATCTATGATTAGAAGCAGCAATTCCAATCTTTCATCTTGCTATTGAGCTTTACTATCATTAGTTGCAGCAACTGTTGACATCTGTTTGTTCCACCTGTGCATTTTTAGAATGGACAATTACGTTTTCATACTTCTTATATGCAGTCAAATTCTACCTTGCTTACGTGGGCCAGTTTTCAATGTTAAGAGTAAATGCTCGTAGAGACTGACAATGTTTTAAGCACATGCTTTCGATATTTTTTCGTTGAGAAGAAATTTTTTTTATATAGAGCAGTAATCTCCCGAGACGTGCGTACGAAACATTTTTTAAGACCACCATCAATTGTATCATATTTGACAATTTGAATTAGTTTCGTGGAGAGTTATTAACAAAACTATTCAGGGCTAGTAAATAGATAATAATAATCTATTGAATCAGCAATATTATCATTAAGAACATATTCCAACGACATTTTAAGCTTCTAAGTAAACCTTTAATCCTAGTTTCATTAAAATTATTTTCGTTTAAGGTGCATTAATTATGACCATCATTGACCATGAATTAAAGAAATATGACTTATGGGTTGAAGAACTAGAAAGGAAACACAAATTATCGAACAATAAATCTGAGACAAGTTTGACAACGGATGGTAAATCTTTGGTGGATGAAGCACAAAATAATTATGAGACAAGCTTTTTGAAGTATAAATCACTAGTCAGGAAACAAGAACAGTTGTTTAGGGGTAAGTTACTTAAATCTATTTAGGCATAAAAACAAGTTAGAGTCGATTCATATTTATTTCATGCTAATATACAGATGAATAAAAGATACACGGTTATATCATCAACGTAAGACTTAGCAAGGGTCATTAACAAAGAAAAACATTGTCTATGCTTTATCAAAAACTTAAAAAAGATGAAAACGATTGAGCCATATCCAACTGAGTTTACCTAATTAAATATGTGTGACCATACAGTCAGTCAGTCAGTAACAACGTAGAACTTCGTACGTACGTACATCAGTTCGAGTTGCCACACCACATTAGCACAAAGATGCAGTTATCGATTCAAATCCCGTGGTGGTAGAGGCGGTAAGAGTATATGCAGTAATCGGAAACATCAGGGTTTGAAGATGTTATTTAAAGAGCACAATCCAGTGAAACAAATTTGGAAAGAGAAAAAAAAAGAAAAAAGGAGGATTCAGGAGATTTGAATTCGGGAGAACACAAAGAGTGGATGCACTTGTGCCATTGCAAACGATCTTGAGCTATGTCATACATGTATAGGGAGGAGCAATAGTGAGCTCCAAATTAGGGTAATATATATCACATAGTTTTGATACTGTTCGTCTTCTTCTTACACCATCCAAATATATGCCAGCCATAGAAATTTTATAACCTAAAATTCATTTAATATACTATGACGGATACATTCAGTTCTTGTATCTGACATTTCATGATGAGGAACAAAATCATTTGTTTTGATAATGGTTAGAAATGCCTAACAATACGATACTCATTTAATTCCATACATTTACAATATTAGATGCCCGTTGAACAAACATAAGCCACAAACAAGTTAAGTAACATTATTGTCAATCGAAAGTAAAAAATATGCTGACATAAGATGATGATTGTCAGCTTCAACGACTAGCATAATATTTAACTTAGTATGGTCAACTAAATATTAATTCGTATCTGTAATATAACCGTGCCTGTAAGTAATGTGTGTAGATTCCACTTATTGATCTGCGAGGCTTAATTTATCAGTTTATGTTGTTAAATGGGTTCCTTGGGCGTGTGGCTCAATATTTTATGCAGTCATAGCTTGGTTACCCATTGTAACATCATGCTCTGTATGTTCATAAATGATTGACAATTATATTAATTGCTAAACATTAGTAAGTAGTACAATTAATACGTAAAAAAGAAATGACTAAGAAAAAGTGGAGAATTGGCATATCTATTTATTTACTTAAGGACAAAGATCAGTGAAGAACACTTTTCAAGTATCTTGGGGCTAGCTGTTGATTGATGAATAAGCTGGTTTGTTTTGATAAATTTAACTGATTTATGGTGACCATGTTTCTTGATGTTGTATAATTGGCCAATAATATCATTGAAAGTATTCGTTAGAAAGGACTTTTTATTTGTATCCTGTATTTCCTTCCCTATGATAATTTATAGTTTCCTTTTACTTACTACTGAATATCAGTGAAGACATTAATGTTGAAATTAAAATGCACAATAAAGGAATAGTTAGTATGATTTGTAAATGTTTGAACCGAGATAATTTCGAGCTGTTAATACTACTTGTCTCATTTTTGAAAAAATTGAGTATATTCTTTGAGAACAAGGACGAAATGGTAAGCGAAAGTTAAATTATTAAATTTGAATCTTATTCACCTAACAATCAATCCTATTTCATATAGTCTAATTATAAAGTAAACTTATTGCAATATCAAATAGTATAAATGAATTTTGTCTATAAGTGATTTCGATTAAAAAGACGTTTTGCTCTCAAATGGATCGTGGTCTGAAGGCATACTTTTTTCAACATATCATGACGTTTTAACAGTTTCAAATACTTTCCATTCTCTTTTTACTGGTTAGAAATTCAACATAATGAATCCGTATTTTGAAGCAGTCTTTATGCATTTTAGTAGTAACGCTTCGCAGCTTGTTTAGCTTTTAATTGTGCAATTGGATTGTTCAAATTTAAGTTACTATATCCAATTGGATTGTATGATAACAGCATACACATATTTTACTATCAGAATGAGGGTTTATGGAAATTGTAGTGATTTGATAGTTGAATTCATGAGTCGATTTAAGCTAGACCAACCTGAAATCCATGAATGGCCATTTCGTTCTAGTATAGGAGTCGTGAGCAGTGCGTATCCACGATTGCGCACACAGGATTCAAACCCAGGACCTTCGGTCCGACACACGACGCTTAACCTCTAGACCACTGAGCCGGCATACAACGGTGTTAGTGTCCAACTTCAACCAATCCACGATATTGCGCGACCGCCCATCATTGCCTTCAGTGAGTAAATGCCTCACAACAGACACGGTTGAACTCCTCTGGGACTACAGGAAACACGTCTAGTTTCGCACGTCAGATTCAAGTCATTTTGAGTAAAACCATTTAATTGGGAAAGTATAAAAAGAAAAATAAAGTATATGTGTAAGCGCCTGCTTTTAAAACCTCATTATGTTTCAGAGAAAGTCTCGCAAGCGCGGGTTTTGTGAAGGTCCAAACTAAATAGGTATAGGCACACCCTTTGTTCTTGAAATAATGATAGTTATCTTTTGCTAAGTCACACTACTCCTGACTTAACCAAGATTTCCATCGACCTTTTATGTAAATATTATTCTGTTCGTAATTCCACAGTATTATTTTAAATACGTCAAATTTATCCCCTAGAAATGGGAG